AATTAAACATGGCAGACTTGTTATAGTTCACTTTTTGTCCTGAATTGGAAGAAAATTCCCTCAGGCGACTCTTGATCACATCAATATGCCTTTTCAGCCTCTGCAATCAAGATCAAATCATCTTCGAAAAACAGGTGAGTAAGTTTAGGACCGTCTTTCCAAAGAGAAAGTGGTTTCCATAACTTCTCAGCAACCGCTTGTTCAATTCTATGTGTAAGTCTTTCCATACAAAGAAAAAAAATGGAAAAGAGGATCTTCTTAGCGAACTCCTCTTATCGGATGTAAGGAATCGGAGAGCTGGCCATTCCAATTGATTTTTATCTTATTGCGCTCAATGCAGGTTATTAACCTGTTAATCAAGGTGCTGGCCATACCAATCTCTCTCAAAGTATCCTAATGAAATTCCATTGAAGCCTGTCATAGGACTTCTCAAGGTAAATCTTGATCACCATTCTTCCTTTCTTCCCTTTCCTTTGACGCAGACTGTGAAGTGTTTCTTGAAGAATCAGTACGTTTTCATTTGCTTGTCTTCCTTGAATAAACCCACTTTGTGTAGGAACAACCAGTTTCGACATAAGTGGTCTCAGTCTGTTCACAATAGCTTTCGTTATTGCCTTCAGAGTCACATTATTAAGACAGATCGACCTGAACTGAGAAGGGTATTCAGGACAATCTACTTTTGGAATAAGAATTATCATTGAGTCCATAAACTTCTCCGAAATTTCCCCTACCTCAAATAATCGAGTAACCATATGAGAGATACTTTTACCAACCAAAGGCCAAAAATTTTGGTAAAAAATCACTTGAAATCCTTCGGGTCCCGACACCGAGAAAGGTTTAATCTCAAACAAAACTTTATGGACATCAACAATGTGCATTGTCGATGTAATTGCGTCATATCTTGCTGTTGCAGCTGTGGGAAGGTGTTCCTAGGAATAGGATCTTCATATTGGTAATCATCATCCGTGTATAGAGAAGTAGAAAATTTCCAGACCATGACAAGTAGTCGATTTGATCATCCACCCATTCTCCATTCTCATCACGGAGTGCAAGAATTTTGTTCCTTCTATTGGGTCTAGTTGCTTGATGATGGAAAAAGGGCGTATTCATCTCCCCCAAGCTTAACCCAATTCTCCTTTGCCCTTTGATACCACACCATCTCTTCTTGTGCCTTAACCTCATCCAACTCTCGTTCAAGTTTAATTTGGAGTGTCAGCAAACCAGGGTGGATAGTACTAGCTAGCCTATTTGTTATACCTTGGAGCCTAGCCAGAAGTCTCTTTTTCTTATGGAACCAAGGAATCCCGATTCCAACTTTGTAGAGTAGGAACAATATAATTAAAAGCATGCTGAAGGTCTACTTCCTTGTTCCAATTGCTGGCAATGGACTCTGCAAACTTATTATGGAGAAGCTAGGCTGCCTCAAATCTAAATTGATGCAGGCTGCGATTGGTATTATGTGGCCAATTGTGAACCGAGGTGAGGATTGGAAGATGATCAGAATGAAGTTTGGCAAGATGTTGGACTGTCGTATTGGGAAATGAAGCATTCAACAAGGGATTGCAAAGGGACTTGTCTATTCTACTAGCTTTCTCGGTGTTCCGAGTGTCTCCGGAAATTTTTCCAGAAATAGCTCTGTTAATTTTTTTTTCCAAAAATAGCACCCAACCCGAAAAAATTCCAAAACTAACACCCTTTCCCAAAAACCGCCACCCGATTTCGTCAAACTTTGGACAACCATAACTTTGTGCTGCAAAATCCAAACGACATGATTTTTTTTTTTCATTTTGCATAACATTTTAAGGACTACAACTTTTATCATAGACATAAATTCGAAATATACGTGAATTGCTGAAAAGGAAGGTAAGCTATTCCAAAAATCCTGTATATCTAAAAATATTTCCTATTTTAAAAATTCATTCCTAATAACAATTGTAGTCCTTAAAGAGTTATGCGAAATGAAAAAAATTTCATGACGTTCGGATTTTGGAGCACAAAGTTATGGTTGTTTAAAGTTATTGAGGATTTTTAGCTTTCAAGGAGTAAAACTTTGTCAATATATTATTGTTTCAAGAGAAGAGTTGTAGTTGAGTGGTGTAGATGTTGTGCTAAATTTAGTAAACTATATATTATATGGGTTTGAACCACCACTCTCACAACATGTTGCTTTTTTATCTCTACAAAATAAAAATAGGTAAATTGCAAGTTTGGTCACTTGAATTACTAAAAAGTTTCACGTTTGCCACTAAAATTAGTTTATTCCATTCATGGTAACTAAAATTAGTTCAACAGTTCAAGTTTGGTCACTCTCCATTAGCTTCCGCTGATGTGGCAGTCAACTTTAATAGTTGACCGTTAAATGTGTGATGTGAAAAATATAAAAAATAAAATTTAATCTTTTATAATTTCCACCTCATTATCACAATAAATTAAAAAATAATTAAAAAATTTGTAATTATAATTTCCGCTCTACTTCCCTCTGCAGCTCGGCGTCACGGAGGATTCCAATATGCTCCAAGGCCATGTCGGTGTCGGATGCCTTGGCAAGGATTTGTTTGGCAATTCAGAACAGAATGGTTTCCGCAGCCATCTTAGGAAAATCAAGTGAAAATAAAAACGAGAACTGGGGAGCTTAAGCAAGACCAAATGTAGAGTGAGAGAACAGGGGAACAAGGGAAAACCTTTAGGGTAAGAAAGCAAAGAAAAAATTGGGGAACATCGAGTTAAGGGCCAGAATAAAAGAAGAACAGGGGAGCAAGAGCAAGAGCAAGAGCAATAGTAATAGCAAATCAAGTGAGCAAGAAGACAAGAAGAGAGTGCCCTATGGGCTTCTGAGCAGTCGTACCGTCTTAGTTTGTTGTGATTCTGAGAGATCTCTTACCAATATCATAATAGAACTAGTAATAATTTCTGATCACTCAGAGGGCAGCTGCCCGATAATTATGCAGGCGGTTGACGACCCGGGCTTCGCGTTCCTGGAATGGGCCTCTTTCAGGATTTTGATCGGGTCCACCGTGTCGTCGGATTCAATGACGGCTGCGAGAGCGTTCATCATTAGCTCCTCCGAGAACGTACTCGCCCTGATTGATGTCTTTTTCTCTGCAGCCGCCCACCACGTCCGCCACACCGATCGTTGTGGCGGCGCCCTCCATTCTGTGGAAGATGAAGTGGCAGTCCTCAATCCTGCCATGGTTGTTCTTCGCCAGCTGAAACGTACATGTGATCGAACTTAGAGGGTGATTGCTATTATTCTTATCGAGTTGGCTCAGAAGAAAGCTGGTTAGACTCGAGCTTCCCGAGTCGCAGATGTGGGATGGGTGGATCGGAGAAGACGTTGGCACCATGTGACGCCGAGTTGCAGAGGGAAGTAGAGTTGAAATTATAATTACAATTTTTATGTTTTTTTATTTTTTTAATTTATTGTAATAGTGAGGTGGAAATTATAAAAGATTAAATTTTATTTTTTATACTTTTTTAATTGCCACGTCACACATTTAACGGTCAACTATCAAAGTTGACTGCTACATCAGCGAAAGTTAACAGAGACTAACGGAGAGTGACCAAAATTAAACAGTGACCATTATTGGAATAAACTAATTTTATTGGAAAACGTGAAACTTTTTAGTAATTCAAGTGACCAAACTTGCAATTTACCCAAATAAAAATAAAGCAAATGGGATGGTGAGGATTTGAACTCAGGACTTCTTGCTAACAATACATAACTAAACCAGTTGTGCCAAGACCACTTGTTGGCAAATTTACCAAAATAATCGATAATAATAACTTATTTCCCTTTCTAACCGGTGGAGGAGAGAATTGACAAAAGTAGTCGGTTGGAAGGGTTTTGCGCGTCAACGCCTACGCTTCGGCGTTGTCGCTTTATTTATCCATGAACCAGTTGGTTGGATGGTCGAACTGCGGCGGTCAAGCTATCCGAATGGTAGGTGATGTCACCCTTTCCTAAGCGCTGCTTGACATGCAAATTTAATTCCCCCCAACCACACGCACCAACCCTTTCCCCTTCTCTGTTTTCTTATCCCTTCGTTCCTCTCAGAATTGAGAATCCGATTGGAACCAGAAGAAGATACATCCTCCAATCTCTCCTTCTTACCGCCGCTGGTCACGCCACCGTCGCAACCTCTGCATCCTACTGCCACCGGTCACGCCGCCGTCGCAATCTCTCCTATTACAGCAGGATCGCATCCACCGGACGCTCCGATATCACCTATGAAGGGTAGATTTCCTCTGTGCGTTTCCTTCTTGTCGCCGATTTCCCCTCTCCGTTTTCACGACGGTGGATTTTTTCTTGCCGCCAATCAGTCTGCTCCACCGAACGTTCAGTCTCGACGGATGGATCTCCCTTATGAAAGTCGTTGAAAGACCACTCCCTGGTCGTTGATTTCGTTGTTGGGAGTTCACTCGCCGGCCATTGCTTTTATTGATGGAAGACCACTCGCCGCTCACCCTCGGTTTTGAGGTACAAAACTTATTGTTGCCTCTGCAGGCTTATTGATTGAATGAGGAAAGGAACTTGAAGGACTCTTCCTTCTCATTTGCTCTACAGACTGCTCTTGTTGGAACTTATTGTTCATTCGTGCAGAGACTAGGCTCAATTGTGGTAAAGGAAAATTTACTTATTTTTTCCCAGAGTTTCAACTTTGTTATCAGTAGTTCAAACTCAATGTTTTTCAGTTATACAGCGAAACGAATCGAAACTTTTTATTGTTGGCACTACATCTTCGCTGGTAAGTATTTTGCTTATATGTTTGCTTTTTTGGCTATTTTACATCACCTAGACCAATTTTGTAACCTAGCCACTCCTCTATTAGTAAGTTTTGAAAACTGTTTGGTGGGAAACAACACAATTTGAGGGTCATTGGTATGGCAAAATCTGCTTCAAAATTAGTTAATTGAAACATATTGCAAGAGGATTATTACATCTAAGTGTGTTTTGATTTTTTTGTAGGGATGGATCCCACGAGTTTTACTCCGCCGCCGGGGGTGAATCCTGAGCCGATTGATAAATCTATACTATGGGGAGAAGGTGAACACCGTGCTTGACGTGTGTGGCTTGATCAGGTTGGTTTTTTTATTGGTTGTTTAATGCTAGTTTGTTTTTGTTTACTTGTGAAAAAGAGAAAATAGACATCTAAATCGTTGCTTTCATTTCATTATTTTATGTATGTTCAGAAGCTGGGAAGTTTTCATTTGCGTAGTCATAAGCCGGTGAAGTATGATCAGAGATATGATCCCTTTTTACAAAGCATCGGATTTGCTAGTATTCTCGATATTTCCAGTATTAGACTTGATGGGGCATTGATCACTGCACTTTTTGAGTGGTGGCGTCTAGAGACATCCACATTCCACCTGTTTACTGGAGAGTGTACCATCACTCTTCAAGATGTGGAGTTACTTCTAATTTTGATAATTGAAGGATTGCCTCTAACCACCAAGACAGAAAAAAGTGAGACAGATGCCGCAAAAAAAATAAAATGTGATACATGTTTGGGATGTCATCCTACAGTTCAAACTGACCTTCTAGGTAATAGGCTAAGGATGAGTTGGCTACGACGTGAGTTTGGAACTCTTCCAAATAATGCTGGCGTCCAGGTTTTGCAGAGTTTGCCAATGCTTACATCTTGTCACTCATTGCAGGAGTGTTATTCCCAAATCGTTATGGGGCGAACGTTAGCTGCAGTTTCTTGTGGATCCTGCATGATTGGGATAAGGATACTAGTTACTCATGGGGATCTGCCGTCTTGTCGAACACATATCGTGAGATGGGCAGAATGGTCTTTGGTTATGGATCAACAGGCAGTAGTATGCATGGGGACTTGGCTGGTTGTTTCATTCTCCTTCAATTGTTGGCTTGGCAGAGGCTACCAAGCATTTCACCTATTCCCCGTGAGCACGATGTGCATCACGTCCCTTTTGGATTAAGGTAAATAATCGTAGCTAACCTAAAATTTTGGCAGGGATATAAGATGTTATTTATAGGTCATAATGTAACTCACCCTTATAACACATAATGTAGGTGGACTGATCTGGAGAGCAATGAAGAAAGTCTCAAATTAATGGGATATCGAGTATTCTTTGATACCACAAAGGAATTCGAGGTATGCATTAGAAGTTGTTAGTGTTCTAGTTTAAATTTATTGCCTGGTTATAACAATGATCTAAATTTTATGTTGTTGTAGTGGGCACCTTATGGATTGGATCAAAGTCAGTTGAAGTCTTTGTGGTTCTGTGTCTCTCCGCTTGTATGATTTCATAGTGTTTCTTGGCATCGTCCTGATCGTACAATGCGGCAATTTGAACTTCAACAATATATTCCTACTTATTCAGAAACAAGGGATGAAGTAGTTGCATTAATAAAGGAGGATGATCGTGCACAGGAGCATGATTGGGCTTCACATCATTCCACTTATATTGAGTATTGGCAAAGTTGTTTGAGTCATTGCATTAAGGGGTCGCCTGTACCTTCAAATCCTCTGCATTACCATTCTGAGTACATGCAATGGTATCGACGAATTACACGGCGATTCATCACCTACTATGCTACTGCACATGAGAGTATGGAAGAATTCCCAGAATACAGTAAAAATTAAACATAATTCCCATAACACATAACTTTTATAAAATTTTCCCAAAATACCCAAGTTTCAAGGGGTTCAAGTTCCATAAACTCGAACAACAACCCAGTTCGACGATGAAGAACTTGAACTAGAACCACAACGAGTTCCTAAAACTCAATCATAAGTAGTTCGAGTTTGGAAAACTCAATCACAGTATTTCGAGTTTAGACAACTCGATCACACTAGTTCGAGTTTGGACAACTCGATCCACCACGATCGATGCCAATAAACTCGATCTAATAGAACCACTTTAGAATCCTCGATCCATATCTGCACAAGATCGATGCCTTAAAACTCGAACCATGTAGATCGATTCCTATGGCCTCGAACCACTGGTCAACCGGCGTGTCAGGATAGGGTTGCAGGGATAAGATTATTTGTTGACCAAGATCGAGTTCTAGGTACTCGAACTAGTGTAGTTCGATTAGACTAAACTCGAACCACTGCTCAATCATTCTGTCCATTCGCTTTCGGTCCGACATGCTCCAGAATAGGGTGCAGGGGTAAATTATTGGTTTCACTAGATCGAGTTTAATGGACTCTAATTAATGTTGTTCGAGTTTTTTGGACTCGAACCACTGCATCGGTTTATGAGGATAAAAGCCATCACTTAGCACATTCTGGCAGCTCTTTTACTTTATATCTTCTTTCTTCCAAACACAAACTGCAGCAGCTGGAGCACCATAGCTGAGCAAAGAAGAAAATTTTTGGAGGTAAGTTTTGCTTACGTTGTTTGAATGAACATATTAGAATTTTGGATTAATTTAGTATTATTTGTACTGTATGTAATGAGCTGCTTCTATAAACTGCAGAAATGGGTAGAAAATTTCGAAAATTCGACTTATTGATTTGGTGGAATGGTCGAATTACACATTTTCATGATAGTTTTTACTACGAAGATGGTGAAGAGTATGCAAGATGACTTACCGTATGCCGGTTTACAAGGATTATGCACTTGTATATGAAGGATCGGTTTCGTCTGACGATGATGACATTAATATGATGGTGAGAATTTATTGCAGAGAACAGATTTCCAACTGCTGAGGTGTATGTCGAGACAGAAGTTTTTGGCCAACAAGGTGAAGAATCGGGAGGGTTTTCCGGTTCAGGAGATTTTAGAGTTCTGCATGATGCACAGTGGCCAACATACGAGGATCGAACTGCAACTGGTCCATTGGTGGAACATGACAGACAGGAGTGGCCAGTATGGGGTGAAGAATGGGATTACATAAGGGCACCCAGACAGTCACCTAGACAAGCATCTACACCAGCATCTGGCATCAACAATGATCCGTATGTGGATAAACCAAGTCCTCCATACACTAGCGAGGCAAGCGACGTGGAAGATTAAGAGTTAGAATCAATGAGTAGTTCAGATGGTGAAGATCTGGAAGTTGGTGAGGGGGAATTTGAGCCCCCCACACCTCACTACACGATGGTGCCACAACATCCTCTCTATGCTCACAACGACGATCCTGACCTCCCTCCTATACCTATCTGGACTCCTGATTCTGGATTCGTGATTGGCCAAACATTTGGAGGAAATCCTCAGGTGGTCGATGCATTGAAAGAAACTGCTATGCGAAGAAGCTTTCAATATCGTGTTGCACAAACAATCAAACATCTGATTGAGGCACAACCTGGGATCACCATGAAGAGTGTCATCGCTGAAGTGAAGAATCGACATGGCTATACCATCAGTTACAAGAAAGCATGGCATGGAAGCAAAAAGCTATGACAGAGGTGTTTGGCGATTGGGAAGAGTCATTTGCTAACATGCCTCGTTTGATTCTTGCAATGGTGGACAAGAATCCTGGGTCTGTTTTTGTGCCAAGTTACAAAGATTTATATGGGGGTGCTAAACGCGTGTTTAAGCGACTATTTTGGGCATTCAAACCATGCATTGATGGTTTCACCCATTGTCTACCAATAATCCAAGTTGATGGCACCTTTCTGACCGGCAAATACAAGGGCACTCTACTCGTTGCCACTAGTGTTGATGGCAGTATGCAACCTTTCCCGCTTGCTTTTGCTATAGTTGAATCGGAGAACAACTTAAGTTGGGCATGGTTTTTTTCCAACTATACACACGTGTCACTCAACGGAAGGACATTGACATACTTTCTGATCGACCCTCGTGTCCATACTACAAGACTCCATACTTGGTCAGAGTTTGGGAAGGGTCGTTCTTTCCCTTAGCTCATGAAGCATATTGGCCCCAGTATGATGGACCTGTAGTGTACCCTCCCGAGCACATGAAGCGTACCAAAGGTCAACCTAGAGTTAACCAAATTGCAAATGAAATGGATAGATCAAGGACACAGCGACGCCACCCGAAGAAGTGCTCTGCATATCGAGTTGAAGGGCATGATAGGCGCCAGTGTCCAGGGCCATCGACTGACAATTGAAAGTTTATGTTGTAATTTTAATTTTATGTTGTGATTTAAGAACTTAATGTTGTAATTTTAATTTTATGTTGTAATATGAATTTTATGTTGTGATTTAGAACAACTTAACAACTCTAGAGAAATAGAACAATTTAACAACGTCATTAGAAATATAACATGACAAGAACTCTAAAGAAATAGAACAACTTAACAACGTCATTAGAAATATAACATGACAAGAACTCTAAAGAAATAGAACAACTTAACAACGTCATTTGAAATAGAACAACTTAACAATTCTAAAGAAATAGAACAACTTAACAACTCTAAAGAACACCTCACTCTTGTGCACCACGTCCGCGTCCCTCTCTTCGACGTCTATTCCTTGAACAAACTCAATATCCAATTCCAGTATTTCGTGGCAATGGAGGTGGGGTTGCAGTGTCTGGAGGACCATAATAATCATTTGTCATCGGAGTCTGGAAGCTTTGCTGCGGGGTTTGGAATTGATGACCATATGATGAAGCATAGTAGGCTCGTCCTCCCCCTCCTTGAGCAGGACCTGATGATCCCTCTCCGAATTCCCTTCTAACTGGAGGGAATCCATACTCGTATGGGTCAGGAAGTGCCACATCTTCTCGTACCTGCACAGGGACTGTAACTGGCTCTTGCCGACGTTTACTCCTCCTTGGTGGTGATGGCGGGAGAGATTCAACTTCAATGGCGTGGGAGGAAGGACGTGGCGGTGCAGGTGCAGGAGGATATGCAATGACATCCCTTCGGATTTCCCGCGAATATGACAAGAGATTCTTGAAGAGCTTCTTCAAGAATGAAATTTTCTTAGCTGGCACATCTCCTTCTGGTTCATTCTCCAACGTCATTGATGCAAGTTCCAACCCATCAACCTAAATAATAAACATGTTAGTCAAACACTCTTTGTGTAGCTAAAGTGATATAGTAAATAGATATTGTGCTTACCAACGAACCGATCACGACGCCACATTTGGTTACCCATCTTTTTGTGAACTTGCGGTACCAAACCATGTATTCATCTTGGGCCCCATTGGCCTCCTCATTAGGATCCCATCAATTGCATACGTGTGACGAGACTCCCACATTTCAATCCATCTACGGTGCTTTGTTGGCCAATCATTGATTGTACCCCACAGATCCTTGCTGTACTTGTGGAGTGACTTATGTACGTCCGGTGATGGGAGATGAATCGGTTGCGCCCAATTATATTGTCGGACACATCTATCTGGGAGGTGCCACTCGACAATGTTATGGCAAATCACAGGCAACTTGCACGACCAGAGTCGACGATGCTGAGGGCATTGCAACTCCTACAAATCCTTTGCTCCGTCGGATACGGATCCCACTCCACCTAAGTTTCAACACAACATATAAATTAAAATCGAAGCAAATAATTTCAACAACTCAAATAGGATTCATAATCATAAAAATAAATAATGGGCTAAGACAAATAATTTCAACAAATAAAATAGAATTCGTAATCATAAAAATAAATCATAGGCTAAGTCTAAGACAAATAATTTCAACAAATAAATTAGCATTCATAATCATAAAAATAAATCATGGGCTAAGACAAATAATTTCAACAAATAAAATAGGAATCATAATCATAAAAATAAATCATGGGCTAAGACAAATAATTTCAACAAATAAATTAGCATTCATAATCATAAGCTAGAATGTTACCTCGTTGAATTCTATACAGTCAAGATGTTGGCGGTACCCGTCTAGAAAGGTGAGTCTCGTGATAGCTCCAATCCATCTAGCACCATAAGCCCATTGTCGTAGTGGCTCATCGGGACCCCAACTATTGGCAGGGCAGATCGGAGCGAAAGTAGGAAGGTGCTCCCAAACCCATAGTTGGAGGATGAACATGGGACCACCCACTTGCTTTGTTTTCGGATCCATACACTTGCACAACACCGAATATATCATCGCCAGACAAGCAGATCCCCAACTTTTTCTCCCAATCTCGTCACAATCTTCCAAAAGAACTCGAAGCCACATAC